AGTCGTCGCGCGGTGACTGCTTTCTTCCCCTGCGTCCCCTGCCTCTCACCCCTGCGCCGGGAAGGCCGCAGAGCCAGCGCAGCTTCTCCCCGGGGCACCCCCACCCTCCCCGCCGGGCCTCTCCACTCTGCTTCCAGCCCCCCAGCCTCCGTTCCAAGAAAAGAGCTTTCCGAGGGGGCCCCCCCGAAGGGGGAGGTCTCTGCAGGGCGGCGGGGCCCCAGCTGGAGGGGCTTCCCAGAACCTGCAGGCCGAGGTCTCAGCAAACGTCTCTGCCCCGTGTTTATTTCATCTTTCCCCTCCCTTCTGACCCTGATCTCTCCGTGACAGCTTTTACAGCCCCTTTCTTCCTTTAATCACTGTCGTCCATCTTGGCCCCATTCTCTCTTTGGAAATCACTGCTCTGAGCTATTTAAACAGGCTCGTCTGACCTAAGTCCAAATACGTATAAATCTAAGGCCCACGTACACCTCTGCTACGGAACTGGCCTCGGGGCGACTGCGACCAGGTCAGGTCCCTCCCGAGGGGAAGGGCCTGCGTGCTGTCCTTCCCAGGACAGTTTAGGGGCAGGTAAAATGAGAAGGACAGAGGCGGAGACATAACCAAGAAGGACGACTTAGAACTAGGACACTTCATTTAATGGTCAAACATAAAAAAATTTTTTTAAATTAAAAAAAAAGAACTAGGACACTTCAAAATGAGGGGGGATGAGTGACCGGAAACCCACTGCAGCACAGAGGGGGAGAAAGGCTCCGAGAAACTTGGAGCACCTGCCTTGTGCCAGGTGCTCCGCTGGCCCTTCGACTTCTGTGGTCTCATCTGACCTGGACAACACTGGTGGTTGGATCCTGATGCTTACAGAAATTAAGTAACCAAAGACTCAGCTCAAAAAGGAAATCCAGGGTCCAAGCCCAGGGCCACACGGCTGTTTTAGTCCAACTCATGTGGTGGCAAGAGAACTAGCTTAAGTGAAAGGGAGATTTACTGAAAAGATAAAGAATACAGACCACCTGGGGAAACCAAGAACAGAGGCCACTGACAGGGTGGGACTTCCTGCAGGCTAGCCCCACAGAGCGGCTCAGGTTCCAAGCCGGCTCCAGGAACCACCAACAGGTAAACGCCACGGATTTCCATTCTGCGGCCCCGTCACATGGCAGGTGGAGCATGGCTGGCTTCCTCTGCACACTCACGGCTTCTGTTCCCTAGTGCCAGCCGGCACACAGCCTCTTCTGCCCCTCCGCCTCCTGGCTTCCGCTCCCACTGCCAAGCCAAGTCTCTTCATGCCTCTTAGTTCTAAACCCCAAGAGGAAAATCTGACCAGCCTCTCCTCTCAAGACACATGCACCCCAATGTTCACAGCAGCACTATTTACAATAGCCAAGACACAGAAGCGACCTAAATGTCCATCCAGATGACTGGATAAAGAAGATGTGGTGTATGCATACACACACACATACACATACAATGGAATACTACTCAGCCATAAAAAAGAATGAACTGCCATTTGCAACAGCATGGATGTACCTGGAGATCAACACTCTGAGAAAGACAAATATCATATAATGTCACTTACATTTGGAATATATATATATATATATAAATTTTATTTACAAGCCAGAGACAGACTCATGGACATAGAAAACAAACTATGGTTACAAGGGGGAAGTAGGGGGCAGGATAGATTAGGAATTTGGGATTAACAGATACACACTGCTGTAAATAAAATAAATAAACAAGGACCTACTGTATAGCACGGGGAACTATATTCAGTTTCTTATAATAAGCTATAATTGGAAAAAATTGAAAAAATATATATGTATGTATAACTGGACTGCTTTGCTATACATCTAAAACTAACATTGTAAATCAACTACACTTTAATAAAAAATAAATTTTTTTAAATTATGTAATCTGCTAAAAAATAAAGTGAATCTTATGATTAAAAAAGAGAGATCACTGGACAGCCTACAGACTGCTGGGGGGGGGCGCCAGGAGTGATCTAATCAGCCTGCACCCCACACCTGCCAGCCCCTCTGCTGGGCAGTGGGGTCCTCAACATTTAGGACTCAGCTCACCTCCTGGGGGAGGCCCTCCCTCCATCTGCCACCCTCCTATGGTCCAACACCACCCCTCCAAGTACACACACACCGCTCTGCTCTAAGTCACTCTTTAACCAGGTTACCCTGCATTTCATTTCTTTCTAGCGCTTAGCACCATCTGACCATATTTTATTTACTAGAAAATGCGTAGCATAAAAGGAAGAACAGCGTCTATCTTGCTCTTCCCGGCCACAAGCTCTCAGAAGAGGTGCTCTGGCACCCAGCAGTAAGTCAATAAAAACCTGGTGAAGAGCCAGCTTGACGTGAGAGCAGTGGGTGGGGGTTTTTGTTCTTCCGAGGTGTGGGGAGAGGAGGTCTATGACTTGACTTCAGTATCTAGTCCGATGGCCAGTTCTTTAATGGTTTCAAACTGTTTTCACGTGACCTCACCACAACCCTATGCAGTCAGAATTTTTATTAGGTCTGTTTTACAGATGAAGAAACTGAGGCTCTGAAAGGTTAAGTGACTTGCCCACAATCACTTAGCAAGTGCCTGAATCCAAGATCTGAAGGCACACCTGCCAGACCTCCCAGCCCCCGAGCTGTACGTTCCACCACTGATCCTCCTCCCACCGGGGTAAGTGGGGTGAAAAGAAAGACTTGGTTACCAAACTTCAGAAAGACAACACGGAACAATACAGAGTGTAAGTATTACTTCACGTTTCCGTGGGTGGCAATTACAGATCTCATTATTCCAGAAGCAGCACAGCTAAGCCGTAAGGTAAAGAAGGGTTTAGATAAACCCATGAATAATGGATATACTCAGCGCTACTGAGGATGTTCGGTGTGACTTCTGACCTCTTCAGGCTGGCTGCGTGGAGGACGTGATGAGTTTTCCCTAGAACCCCTGCCCATGCGAAGGCATCCACGGCACAGCAAACCTCACGCTCGTCAGATGAGGGAAGATACGTGAAAGCAGGTACACACTTGTTCTGAAAGTGTTCATTTTCTTCAGTCTTCAGTTACCACTTATTTACTCAGGTACTAACTATTGCCACAGACTGAATCGTGTCCCGCCTCCCCCAGATTCATGTGTTAAAGCCCTAACCCCCAACGTGGGGCTGTATGTGGGGACAGGGCTGTGGGAGGTAATTAACATTAAATGAAAAGGCTAATTACGATTAAATGAAGTCCTGAGAGTGGGTCCTAATCCTTATAGGGACTGGTGGCCTTGTAAGAACAGGAAGGCTCTCTCCCAGTCACGTGAGGACATGGTGAGAAGGGGGCTTTTGCAAGTCAGGAAGAGGGTTCTCGGCAGGGGCGGACGGGCTGGCACCTTCATCTTGGACTTCAGCCTCCAGACCTGTGAGGAGCACGATTCTATTATTTAAGACCCCCCCCCCCCGCCCTAGTCTATGGTGTTTTGTTACGGCAGCTTGAGCAGATGAGACGCCTACGTTCCAGCTACGATCCTACTGTTCGGCTCCTAAAGTGACTTAACTTCACACACCTGGCAGACAACACGGCCCCAAGAGCTGAGAAGCTACTCTGCACCTGCTGTGAACCCAGAGCCACCGCACGCTGCGAGCTGCCAGGGCCTAACACACACGCTCACCTTGGTCCTGTCTCCCTCCCAGCTCCGTCCTGAGCTTTATTTCCACTGGTCAGTTCCATCCACCCCAGTCCTCCCGCCTGGACACTCGGCCTTGATGCCGGGAGAGGGAGAGGGGCTCTGGGGTGGGAGCACCCAAGAGGGACCCCACCTGTATCCTCACGCAGGTTCACATCCCTGAGCCGGTTCCTCACCTGCAGGAGGCGGGTAACAGCGCACACTCCGGCGCTGCAGAGACCAGCAGGTAACACAACGGAAGCTGCTCCCCCAGCACGGCGCTCGGGGAGGAGGCCGACCGTCCCCGCCCCGCAGCACCGCCCCGCTCTCCGGCAGGCCCCGCCCCGCGGCCTCCCCCGCCCTCCCATTGGTGTCTGGCCTGCCAATCACACGCCGGCTCCGCCCCAGGTCTCGGGCGTTTTCCCGCCGCCAGTTCACCGCGCCCCTTGGCGTTTCCACCGGAGTCTGTCCTTTCTCCTCTCGTCCTCAGCTGTCTACCCAGAGCACGGCGCTCACCTTCTTCACCCGCAGGGCTGCTCCGCCGAGGCCAGGAAGCAAAGGTTCACAGCTGAGCCTGAAAGCCGGGCGCGGAGTCCGCAGCGCCCAGGGGAGCGCGCCACACGCTGCACGCTCTGCGCCACTGCGCGTGCGCGTCCCGGGGCTCGGCAGGGGCGGGAGTTCTCCCTTCTGTGCCTTTGCGCTTGCGCGGCGGGCTCGGGTCGTCTCCGTTAGCGTCGCGCGGGAAAGCACGCTGCGCAGCACGCTCCAGGCCACTGCGCGTGCGCACGCCGTGGCTCGCCTGGGATGGCGCCCTTTTGCGCCGGTGCGCGTGCGCAGCGGGCTCCGCTGAGCCATCTCGTGCCGGGAATGCCAGCGGTAGGGTCCTTGGGCGGCTGTGACGTTGGTGCCCTTCCTCGCTCCTCCCCGTGCCAGGTGCGGGATGTTTAGGCCCCTAACGATTGGGTTCCTAAGTAGTCGCTTGACTTAATCAAATTGCCATTGTTTCCGAACACCAGAGGGGCCGGTGCCCGTATTCTGGTCTCGAAAACGAGTCCTAAAACCGGGTTCCTCTGGTTCATGCTTAACCTCAGTCCAAGCCTTGACTCCCCTTCTTGCCCAGCCCGTTTCCCACAGGACTGAGGGGAATCGAAGAAAAGGGGCCTGGAAGCAGAGCAGGACCCTGCAGGGCCTTCCCGGGTATGAAGCCCCTGTGTCCTCGGTTTCTTGTTGATGGAAAAAGGCTTTAGTCTTCTGGGCAGCCCCCAGTTCCAAAGGGAAGGCACGGGCCGGTACTAAGTAGGGAGGTGAGGGATGCAGAGACAAAGGAAGGCGGCTAAACAAGAGAAGTGATGGCAACAGGTCAGCAATAAAACAGCGCCCTCGTCCCACCTGGAGGGGTATACGGAACCATCTGACAGGTATCTTTGAGTTGTTCTGTAGAAACTAGACCCACCCCCAGGTGGAGAATAGTGACTGTAAGTGAGCAGGACCCTGTGGGGCCTTCCCAGGACAGACCCTGCCCCCATATCCTCTTATATAAAGCACTGAAAGTCTCGGTTCTTGGATTTACAAGCTAAAGTCAGAATAGTGTTTGTCCTCTAAAGTTTGGCCATCTCACCAACCCCCACCATCTACACCCCTGTCATCCTAGCTGACACCTCTCTATTCATGCAAAGGATAAGGCCTTATACCTGAGGTATTAGGATTCTCCAAAGAAACAGAACCAAGAGAGTGTAAACCTATCTATTCATGTATCCATCCAAGAAGAGACAGGGAGCAGAGAGATTGACTTATTTAAAGGAATTGACTCACATGATTATGGACGCTAGCAAGTTCAAAATGCATCAGGCTGGAGAGCCAGGGAAGAGCTGATGCCACAGTTCAAGTCCAAAGGCCACCTGCTGGCTGAATTCCGTCTTGCTCTGGGGATTCAGTCTTTTGTTCAATTCAAGCCTTCAACTGATTGGATGAGATCCACCCACATCAGGGAGGGCCATCTGCTTTACTTATTCACTTACTTACGATACAAATGATGCAAAACATTTAAAACCCCCTCATCTAAAACCACCCTCACAGAAACATCCCACATAATGTTTGACTAAATATCTGGGCACTGAGGCCCAACAAAGTTGACCTGTAAAATTAACCATCACGCCTGGGTAATAATTGCAGCCATCTATTAAGCACTTATTATATGCCAAACACACAGCACTATTTCATTTAATTCTGTAAAGCCTGTAAAGTAAGTTTAAATATTCTCATTTTTAAATGCTAGGAAACCACGTTTCAGAAAGATGTTAGCCAGAAGGTCATGAAATTTAGACGCAATCAAAGCCATCTGATCACTGCTAAGTTCAAAGAAATGAGTCAGTTTGACCAAAGTGGAGCTAGTTTCTCCGGTCTTTCTACGTCTTCCAAAGTTCTCAGCACCAAGTTCTAGGAGCCTGAATGTTTCACGACTTTTGAAAAATAAGCATTACCTTCTTCCTTCATGCCAAACTGCTCCACAGTTGATAGAGTTTGTATTCAGCATTGCTTTTTCCTTACAGAGATGTTGAACAGCTAAGTCAGTCCATCAGGACTGGGTTTGCCTGTGTCAGAATACTCAGTAACATCAGTTAAAATACATAAAGTTTTCTCTCTACCCTCCTTCCCCCAATAGAGCCTGAAGGTTAGCTCTCCAAACTAGTGAGCAGCTCCACGCTTGCTCCTGATCTAGATTCTTCCTGTCTTTTTGCTCTGCAGTCTTCAATATATCACTTCCTCTGAGACCCAGTTAGTTCCACCACCATGTCCACCTTCTCGTCACTAAGAAGTCAGATGGGACAACCGCGGTGCACCTGCCCTGTCAGAATGCCTCCTGCAGGTGGCACCTGCCTCCTTCCCTTGGGCCCACTTGGTCAGAACCCAGTTCTGTGGCCACACCAGCGGCAGGGAGGATGGGAAATGGAGCCTTTATTCCAGGCAACCAAACGCACAGTTTAAGAAAAGGAAGAGGAGGAGAACGGGTGTCAGGGGACCACACCAGAGGAGGTATTATAAATGCCACTTTGTAGACGAGGAACAGAAGGGAAGCAGAGAGCTTTTAAGACGCATTAAAAAAAAAACTTGGTGGGAAATGTCATGTAGAGCAAGGATTCAAACCCAAATTTAAGAATTTCTTAAAAAATAAATTAGGATGGACCCAGAGTTATCCCAGCAAGAATGTCACTTACTCTGTGGACATCTGAGTAACAGCTGGGGCAGAGGTGCCACTGCTCCACCGTGTACAACTCACAGTCTAACCTGCCGTCTAAACAGACCCAGGGGAGCGTGTCAGCCCCGTGGGTCTCACCCAACATGAGGAGGCAGGATGGGAAGCCTGAACCCTGGGTACTGTGAGGTCCTGCTGTCCCATAGCTGAAGGTTGCAGGACACGCTTCCAGGGCTGTTCCTGTCGCTGGGTTTTATCCCCAGTCCCCAGAAACTAGGATGGAGCCATCTGTCTCAGGATGAGAAAATACATTTTACTGACAAATACATATGCTGATAGTCAACAATCCCCAGGGAGACAGAGGACAAGCCACGCACTGGATCCTCCAAGGGCAAAACTGCCTCCTGGGGTTTAATCCGTCCAGTCGGACAAGAGGCGGGAAAGCCCACGGGGGAGTGAGGCCCTGGCATCCGGACGACAAGGGGAAAAGGCCTCGGCCCCCAGCGCTAGACTCGGGCGGCCCCGGCGCAGCTCCTTGGGCGCGGGCCCGGCTTCCTCCAGCCGACGTCGCGCCGTCGGCGTCGT